CCCTTTACTTTCACCTTCAGCTATCTTCTTCATGCCATGTAACTCATAAGGCCTCAACACAATCCCGCCAACCAGCTCTGTCAGCCGCTGCGATTTGTACCTCAATCCAGTTCTTCCATGGCTTTGTCCCAAGGGCGTCATGCTTTGCCTATCTAAGCAAGTTATCACATTGGCCCCAAGAGAAGATTGTCTTCGAGTATTTGAGGTTTCTGTAATCTGCTTTGTTTTAAGGGGGTGGGTGATTGGCCCACCGCTCAACCCCCAACCTGGAGGACCAGGGGCTGTTCTTTGTCCGGCCTCCACCCCTCGACCAATCCGGCATGGTTGGACCTGCCGGGACTAGAGTCCCAGCCGGTACAGCTCTTAAGGTCATTGAGACACTCAGGCCTCAACACCACTTAAGGTGACAACCCAAGGTGAGGACCCTTTACTTTGGCAATCAGGAAATGCGAACGTTTTGTAAAGTGAGCGATAAGGTTAGACTCCACCCTAGTTTTATACAAACTGTTCTGATATTCTACATATCAAAATACCCTCAAGGCAATATCACAACTCCTGCCTGAATCCTAGGTGACGGTTCGTCGACATACGGAACGCGCACGAGCATATGCGTATCGTCTTCACCAAGGCAGAGTCTGGCTATCGCACCGTAATCTGATCCCTCTACAAACTGTCCAACGATGTAAACATCCACGTCCTGATCACGTGGTCTCTCGTTAACTGCCGCGCTGATTCCCCAGGCAGGCAGATTCAGAGATTTTAGAATAGTCCAGTGATTTGCGCGCGGGCAAAATTTCTCTACTGAGCCTTGAACGTGTGCTATTTGACCATTCTGCATTTCAACGCCTCCAAGTGCGTACAGACAATCATGCGCAACGACTACGTCATGAAACGCTCGTGCTCTTTTCATGGGCGGAGCAGGAAGCCATCGATTTTTCTGCACGTCGTAGGCTTCAACTGACGAGAACGCAAAATTGAAATTTGCCCCGCCACAAGCGTATATTTTACCTTCTAGCGTAGCAACACCTGGGAAAATTACACTAGGATTAATTATGCAATAGTATCGTTAAGATTTATTTTTCTTAGCTTTTGATAGAACTTACTTCAGAAGCCCAATGTAGGGCTTCTTTGTAATCAGATGCCAATAGGCCATTTTACAGTTGTGTACTTAGTTGCCAAGCCTTTGATTCAGAGTGAGGCTAAAGATGACCTTGTTGTGATAGAGACCTGTATCTAGTTAGCATGAAAACAAAGTGATTTACATTTGAAAGGCAGCAAGGTTTGTATCATAACAAGGTCATCTCTAGCCTCACTCCCATTCAAAGGCTTGGCAACCAAGCACACAACTGTAAAATGGACTATTTTGCTTCACTGATTCAGATGAAGTAAACAAGGATGAATAATAGCAACTATGTAATTCATTACCTACAACGAGCAAAATATCTTGAAAGAGAATTCTGGAGATAAATTTGTTAATGAGAATACTGCCACAGAGGAATGGTACAATAACTGCTTTTTCCAAGCAATAAACTCTTGCTGTAACTTTTTAGCTAACAAAAAAGATATAGGCTGCCAACACATACCTAGAGCTCCTCTGCCAGTGTGCATGGGCGTTATCACCTCCCATTCATTGGTAATTGGGTTGTACCTCTCTACAGTTTTCAGACCTTCCCTGAGGTAGTCATCTGTTCCCCCTATCACATAAATACATCCATTGAATACAGTACCAGCCACTTGCCCCTTGCAAAATTTAAGTGATGGCAGTTCCCTCCAAGAGTCCAGTTGTGGGTTGTAGCAGTCAACAGAGTTAAGGTTAGCTGTGAAACTAACCCCACCAATCACATAGATGAGGCCATTGAGTTTGACAACAGCTGAAAAGTGACCAGGACATTACAAATTAGAATGTGCTGCTGTCAAACTAGCTCACACGATAGACTGGATTGTTCCCAATTCAAGCCTAAACAACCGTTTGGAGGCAGCTTTGCTTGCTATAGAAAACAACTGTTAAATTAAATTTGGACAAGATGAGTAGGGTTACGACGACACATCAGTAGCAGATCCGTGCAGACCTTAAGCCAAGGGGGGCCCATTTTTGTGTGTGCTCACCTGCTGGCTTTTCTTCCCTCTGCATTTATTTTTTACCCAAAATGAGGGGGGGGGAAACCAGGATCCCCTCCCCTAGATACACATATAATATTGATGATTCCTGGCACTCAAGATAACATACATAATGATGAATTTGATCCGTGTTTAACTGGGACCTTTTAAGGTAAATGACTTTGAGCTTAAGTTAGCATAGGGTTCTTGTCAACCAAGTGAAGTTTTACTGACTCAGAATTTGTTGTGGGAAGTCATATTTTGAGCCTTGAAATGAAGAAAATGAAACAGTGAGAGCAAGATCTGTCTCTCTATGTTAAGTCATGCTTTTGTTTCCTTGCATGTACACCCTACCTGCTGATTCTCGGGCAACAGACATTGACTGCATTTCTCCCCATTTCTCTTCATTCTCCAAGTAGAAGTAGTCTATCCTATTCAAATATCTATCAGGACTGTCAAATCCTGACAGGCCACCTGCTATGCACAGTTTGTTAGGAGTATTGTGCCTGGGGCGTGTTCGGGGAGTTTGAATAAAACACCTCTTCTCTGGATGCAGCTGGTAATTATTAATTTCTTCTATGAGAGCTTGACAACCTTTTAAAAAAGTATAAAACAATTAAGAAGGCAAAAAGCAATTGATTGAAATTAAAATTTCTGGCAATTCTGGAAGATTATTAATACAACTGCATAATGGCCAAGTTCTAATAGCCTAAATATTTAGGGGGCTTATGATACAACTTATACCATGTTTCTGGAGTTCTTCAAATTCACACCCGAGACATTGCATCAGCTGGTTTCTTGGAATAAGAGGAAGTCGCAGATTATTCATCACTTCAGGAACATGTTCAAATCGGTTATTCGGATCATGATTTATCCATGTCAAAACAAGTTTAAGAACTCCCTCTTCACCACTGCAAATGTTCAGATTTTCAGAGGATTCAAGTTTCATCATAAGATGTACAGGCAAGGAGAGGAAACCTGTAGACAGCAGAAATTACAGTTATACCTTGTAATACAAAGGTCGATGGAAAACCATCAGAATTATAAAATAACATAAGACAAACTAGTAATTCATTTTTCTGTGGCCAGAACAGAAACTTAGATTAAGGTAAGTGATGTTCTAAAGCCTCTTTTTTTCCAAGGAGCCTCGCTGCTTAATCACTCGTTTTTAGTTTCAATGAATTTATTCATTTATTTTTTGACCCATCCACAAGAGATGTTCGAAATCAGTTACCTCAATCCACTGAAATCATCCCTAACGCTGTGTATGTGGATTGCCAGTGCTTTAAGATTTGAAGTGACAAGCAGTTGTGAATTAAAGCCAAATAATATCTCTTAAAGCCTATTACCTAAACTTCATCTCTGAAAAATTCAAGGCTGACATTTTATTTAGTATCCAAGTCTTCTTTCTTGTACATCATTATGAGGAACTTGATTTGAAATATAAAGCTTTCTATTCTTAAAAAAATCAAAAATCAAAAAATCAAACGCGCTCCAGGCAAAATTTTTCTCCTCCAAAAACAGCAGATTGTCTGTTTTAAGCTATACATTCCGTTTGAATCTCTTCCTTACCATAAAGCACATGTAACTAAACTCTGAAGCCCCTGAAGGGTAAATACCAAACATTTTCCTCTTTAGACCGGTTGGCCTCTTTAGACCCTCAGACATTACGTACCTTTGTGGGAACTAATTTCCATTATATTCTTCTCCATGTATTCAAACGCATTTCTTAATAATTCCTCACTTGATATTGCCTCTGCAAATGTTAGTATATCGACACAGTTGCTCTTGCTGATTTTTTTGCTAATAATATCCACACAAACAGTTTCCAGTGCGGAAAACAACAACATATTCGCGGCAACCAAGACAGCTTTGACATCAGCCAGAGATTTGAGGTCCATTTTGCAAGTGTAAGCATATTCTACCAGAACTTTCAAAAGATTCGACTCCAAGGCCATCTTAATCTTGTTCTCCCTGGATTCCTTCATCTCATTCGTGAACATGGCTTGGAAGTAGGAGCTACACGAAGCCAAAACAAGTTTGTGCACTTTAAAAAGTCTTCCGTCGCTGCTCTCCAAAACAACATCACAAAGGATTTCGCTCGCTCTTAACTCTTCCATTTTGTTTAGACACTGCAAGGCATGTACATGTCCTTTGCCGATCTTTTGATAATCGTGCATACTGCTGTTAATTGATAATTTACTTTGTTTTCTTTTGGACGAACCCGATGCCTCCATATTTAGAACTCAAGGGTTGGCACGTGTAAGTTTACCTCGCCCCAGCTGACCTCGGTTTAGTTTCAAAATTGAAAATTTCAATAGCCTGAGACTATTGCACAAAAGATCACAGGAGGGTAGATTATCATTCCTCAGTAGCAAATTTATTCGAAGAGTTCGTCACTTCTCGGAAGGTTAGATATCTTTGTGAATTATTGTTTTTATAATTCCATGTTTTGTATTTAACATCAGAAGAATTGTGTATAATTCGAGGTTAGCCCGTGGTTTGAACTGCGTGACAGAAGCACAGAAGGGTGTAACTCATTGATTTTGTGCATGCTATGTTCACAAGAGACCGTTAAGTATCGATTTTTGGGATAACATCTGACCATAGCTATGTTAAGTTGGATGATTTAAATCGCTCAAAGGATGATAATAATGAGTTAAAACCCATGTGAATGTGGTGACGTGTTGACGAAACAGGATACATTTATGTAACACCACAACCCGTACACGCGTAGCTATACCAAATCATGCACAAATCATTTTGTTTTCAGCTTTTCCATATAAATCTAATAGTGTGTGGAAATCACGTACAGGGATTTTTAGTGTGTGATTTCTATCTTAACGTTCGCACTTATTCTCAAGGCTGAACAATGTGGGTTTGTACAATGTCAAGGTGTCATGATGCTTCTTGTCCTTTTTTTAGTGTTGTGTATGAACCAATAGATTACGGTCTAATTTGGCTAGTGATTAGGAAAACCTCTGAGATTTTACTTATACCTTTCAAGATACTTTGATAGTATCATTTCTAGTCGAAATCATGTCAAGTCAAAATCTACCCAGTAGAACTTTTATGTGGGGTTGTGTTTCCTCCTGTTTCCAATTCGTGACCTTTTCCGACCCAACCATGGGGGTTCTTGGGTCTCAGCTCACCCCTCATACCGCTTTACTCTGTTAGAAGGTACCACTGTTTAAGGTGAACATGTGAGATCTTCCTTGATTTTTAAGTTAAAAAATTCATATCTGTTCTAACTTATGTTTTAAATGCCAGCTTGAGTAGCAGCTAGGAAGGACTCGCAATTACCTTAGTTTATTCTCACCTGACCTTTGAGCTTGCCATGTGACTTACTTACAGTGATTTTGAAATATAATATAGATAAAAAAAAAGCTGATAATGGTGGGTAATGCTCATGAAAGGAGATCTTTGTCTGATTTTAGAGTCTTGGAAGCACTTGAAAATTGTGTAATGAAGTCTCTTTTTTACGTGTTTTTTTCTTAAGGAGCTTGACTTGCCATTGATCTAGAGCCATCTAGGATGCCCCTTATATACTTCTGGCTCAGGTTGTTCAAAGGGCTGATAGTGCTATCCAACGGATTAATCGCTATCCAGCCGATAAGTGTTACCAAAATGTACTGTGCTATCCACCGGATAGAGATTTATCCAGTGTATAGTGTTATCCATCCTTTGAACAACCGGGGCCTGTTGCATTTATAACATTTTTTCATTTGTCTTCTTATAACATATTTTGTTTGTAAAAGAGATTAGGTTGTTAACCCTTTAATTCCCACGAGTGACCAAAGCAGAATTTCTCCTTACAATATCAATATAATATAAAGTAGACAAGTGATGAGAATAAAGAAAAATATCAATTAGGGGGATTATTAGTTAATTGATCCAGTACCAAATTCTTAAACTTGCATCATAAGAATTGTATTGCAGACAGTAAAGGTTAAGGCCCATTGCATTTTGTAGAAGAAGAAATTTCAAGTTTTAAGGTTGATTCAGGATTTAATTAATTTCACTATTCTATACTGATACTGACTTAAAGGAGTAAAAGTTAATTAAAGTAAAATATAATTTTTATATTTGTGCATAAGTGCCATTTTTAGGTTAGTCCAGATACCACAATGAGCAGCAACAGACGACTGAAGTTAATAGCTGGCCACTTAGATCAGCTGAGTAGAACTGCTGTGGCTAAACAAAATTGTGCAGATACATCAGCAGAATCAACCCCTGAGGCTCAACACAAAAATCCAGGCAGGCATGACATTCTCAAATGGAATGGCTGGGGCTATAGTGACTCAAAGTTTGTAATCCAAAAGGATGGCCAGGCTGCTTTCACAGGCTCTCGATACATACTAGGAGGACACACTTTCCCCAAATTGGTAGATTGGTTTACAAAATCATGCCATTCAGATGTAAGCATTACTTCCTCAGCCCAGCCTCTTCCTGATCCAAGTACTTTACCAAGTTCACAGATTAACCAGCCTTTCTTAGATCATGTTAAGACAACAGGAGTACAGTTTTCTCTTGATCCACATATGAGGCTTTTCCATGGTCATGGGCACACTTGTCATGAGATCTTTGAGCTTCGTCATGGAATGCTTCACAGGATTCCAGACATTGTCATCTGGCCAAGCTGTCATAAAGACGTGGAGAAGATAGTGCAGCTGGCTGTGGAGCATAATGTCTGTATTATTCCCTTTGGAGGTGGTACCAGTGTGTCCAGTGCACTAGAATGCCCAGTTTCAGAGAGGAGAATGATTGTGTCGTTGGACATGACAGAGATGAAAAAGATTCTTTGGGTCGATGGAGAGAACCTTGTGGCTCACATTGAGGCAGGGATTATTGGTCAAGAATTGGAAAGGCAGGTCAGTTTTGGGTGGAGGTTTTTGTCAGTTCTCTTTGAATGTGGTTCTGTGATCATGGAAAGAGGGTGGTTTTATTTAAGATGGTTTCAAAAAGGTATAAGAAGTGTTTTCTAAAATTATTAGCATGGGCATGGTTTTGTATTCCTTATTCCAAACCCATCATATTTTTATCGTGGATTTCCAGAAATGTTTCAGTTCTGTGTATGTAAAGGATTTGACAATTGTGTCCTACTGATCACCAGGTAATATTTGGGGTGTATACATGGTTTTCATGGTGGGGCCTAGACCACACTTTCATAGAAGCAAATAATTAAATTAATTAATTTAGTTTAATTTAATTTTAATTTGATTTAATTTAATTTAATTTATTAGCTTCACTGACAGGCAGGGACCCCGCAACAGCTTGCACCAATTACTGCGGGCTCAGTACCCACCCATCCCACCCCAGAGGAGGACATCTCCTACCCCAACATCCCGTCTCCTACCCCGACCCTGCAGGAGATGGGACCTATGGTTTATTCGTCCTTATCCAAGATGACTAGAATGTCTATCCATTTCCTGATATTATAGAAAGGTAGCACATTCTCCTCAGTAATTTTTAAGACCTTGAGTTTTGGTCTGGCCAGGGTTTGAACCCTGTACCTCCCGCTCACCAGTCCGGCACTCTATCCATTGAGCTAACCGGGAGGTGGTTACCATGCAACATCTCCTTCTAACATGAAGACATTGTCTTGCACACAAGTGATGAGGATGGACAACTTGTCAGCCTTGGGATGTAATGTTGATCTAAACCCATCTTCTCTTAACTAATACTCTACTTGAAGAAACTATGTACTCCTAATTGGTTGAAAAGAGTGCATTTTCCATGTAACACAAGTGTGTTTTCCATGTAACATGAGTGCAACGTTTGTAACACAAGTGCAAATTACAAATAGTGTGTGCACGCTGTCAGAATTTTGTCAGTCTCTGTGATGCTTTTTTCATGTAAATTAGTAAGAAGTAATAACATGATTTCTTGTGTAAAAGTTACTGTAATTTTTTTAAGACTATCAATTTCACTCACCTTACAGGCTTGTGCAGTTTTTTTCTCTTTGAAAAATTTGCATGTCCTTAGTTACACCAAATTGCACTCAAAATCATGTTATTAGCCAAACTAATCTTCAGAGAAACTTCAATGAGTTAGAAGAGAGAATTGCAAATCAAACATTGAAGAGGAAGGGTTAGAGGAATTAAGAGGCATACCAACAAATTATCTTCAATCATTTTTTTCATAGAAGAGTAGTTCGAGACACTAATATCACACCCCCCATCCATCCCCCTGTTCCTGCTCCAGTTCTCCACTTGACACTGAACTGAATGCTGTTCTTAAACTTTCACATGGCATGTTTTTTTTTTTTTCAGTTGAATGCCAGAGGTCTCTGTGTTGGTCATGAGCCTGACTCACTGGAGTTTAGTTCTCTGGGTGGTTGGGTTGCCACACGTGCATCAGGCATGAAGAAGAACATCTATGGTAATATTGAAGACATTCTTGTGCGCGTGCGCATGGTGACAGCACGAGGAACCGTCGAGAAAAGCTGTCAAGTTCCCCGGATGTCTACTGGCCCGGATATCCACCACTTTATCATGGGCTCGGAGGGAACACTGGGTGTGATAACCGAAGTTAGTTTGCGAATCCGTCCGTTACCTGAGTGTAAGGTCTATGGCTCTATTGTGTTCCCTACGTTCGATATCGGGGTAGCTTGTGTGAGAGAGATTGCCAAACAGCGTTGTGCTCCGGCTTCGATTCGCTTGATGGACAACGAACAGTTCGTCTTTGGGCAAGCTCTGAAATCTGAAGGTGGATCTTACTTCAAATCCTTTATCGATGGTCTCAAAGCCGTCTACCTAACCAAGTTTAAAGGTTTCGACCCACATCAGCTAGCAGTAGCTACACTTCTGTTTGAGGGAGACAAGCAAACCGTCGCCAGCCAACAGAGGAAAATTTACGAAATCGCCTCCCAGTTTCGCGGGATTCCAGGCGGCGAAGAAAACGGCCAGAGAGGATACATGTTGACCTTTGTGATCGCCTATCTCAGGGATCTTGGCTTTAATCATCACTTCCTTGCCGAGTCATTCGAAACATCTGTGCCCTGGGACAGAGTTACAGACCTGTGTCGCAACGTGAAAGAAGGGCTGAAGCGGAAGTGCGCGGACCTTGGAATCAAGCACCCACCCTTGGCCACTTGCAGAGTGACGCAGACATACGATGCCGGCGCGTGCGTTTATTTCTACTTCGGCTTTAATTACCACGGGCTGCCTAACCCATTGGAGATGTACGACGCAGTGGAGAGTGCTGCCCGCGATGAAGTTCTCGCCAATGGCGGAAGCTTGTCTCATCATCATGGAGTCGGCAAACTCAGGAAGAAATGGCTCCGTCAAACCGTCTCTGATGTAGGCATTGAAATGTTAAGAGGCATTAAACAGGCAGTGGATCCTCAAAATATTTTTGGAAATGGAAACCTGATATGATTTCACAATAGGCTGTGACGAATTTTTTTATTTAACTCTTTAACTCCCAAGATCTAGTTGTTAATTCTCCCCTCTAGCTGCTACACATTTCCCTGTAATTGTTACGAGAATTTGGTGTTAGATCAAAGATAGCAACGGTACTTCTACCTGATAAGTTTGAGTGTTCTCATTACCTGTTTGCTAGATATTGTACGGATATCAAAGAGAGAAGTTACATGTTAATCACTTTCGAGCGTGTACTGATTGTGGGGATGAGAAGCGCCTGAAGTTAAAACTCTTAGTAAACTTTTATAATAATAATAATAATAAAAATAATAATAATAACACCTTTATTTAGACACGATAATGTTTAAAGCTGAACAGCTTGTGGGGTCGTGTGTAAATCTAAATAAACTCTAAATTAAATAAATTCAAATGATGATGGTTTTTGAGGAGAGGGGAAAACCGGAGTACC